GCTTGTTCATCGACTAAGAGACTAACACCATGGTGGAGCAAATTTTCTGCGATTTTATCTACTTTTCCTCCAGGTGCACAAACAAACCTGAGTTTGTAGGATTCATCTTTCAACTCAGCCATTGCTTTAGCAGCTATATCGTACCCCTTGACTGTGAAATCTTCACAGCTGTCACCACTTCCAATTACAAGAACATAGAAAGTCTGTCTTTCTTCTGTGGCTTGTTCTTTTTCCAAAAATTCAGAGAAAATGCTTGGAGTAAGGTCAAAAACATTTTCCCCTTGTTTACTGGGACGGAGGTAACGCTTGTAAGCTTCTGCTAGCTTGGGTCCAATTGTGACGACTTGATCAGCCATCTTACAAAGCTGGATTTCTGTTTCCTGCTCTTTTTGACCTTCTGAAATGTTTTTGTACATTCCATCTTCTTCAGGAGCAGAGTGAACAACTTGAATCCATTTGCAGTGACAGTAATTTAGATTTCTCTTAATGGGTGTAATAAGTCGACCAAGGTGGACTCCATGACTAATGACACAGTCCATTGTATGGTTTCGAGGAGGAGATGACAACCAAAGAACTGGTTCTACACCAGAAACTCCCTGTGCCTCAATGAGCTTCACATTGTGACTCTTAGCACTGCTCCTGTCCTCTCTGCTGCAACTTGGTAGCAAGACACTAACATCCACATTGGGGTGTTTAGCCAACTGGATGGCCAGCTCTCGGTTGATAGTTGACAATTCTCCATCAGTTGATGATTTCCACTCATTACTCAGAAGAGTGACTTTCAGTGTCCTGTTTTCCTGGCCTTCCTGTGATGTAGAGGCTACACTAGGGATGGTAGAATCCTACCACAACAAAACAAGAATGTTATTGACAAGAAGTTGTGAAACTGCAGTAATTAATCACAATTATGGATGTTCAATTGATATTTAATGTCAATTCTTTGGTAAACTTGCAGTTGAGTTTTATCTTATGCCACAGTCAGTTACAAGTAAATTGAGACATTATTTATCCCAGGAAAATATAAGTTGCTTTAGAGATCTAATATCCTATCACTATAGAAAGATGTTTTTTATCTAGTCACAATAATAATAATAGTAAGAATAATAACTTTAATTATCCTGGTAGAAAAAACTGGTTAGTCTGTCAACAAAGGTTGACGGACTGGTATTAATCGATGACCAGCAATATAAGAATATATATTAAGAATATTAACATGAAAAACAACGGCTTACAATAATGACAAAAACTCTAATGAAGAACTAAGCATTGATCTTACAAATATGATCGGCCTTACCCTTAATCATTAAGTAAATAAAAGTTCTGACCTTAAGCTGTGCAAGTGATTTCAGCTCACGTATCTCTCTTAGCAATTTCTTCCAGGCACTAGCAGCCTAGAACTTCAAAGAAATCTGACCACATTTGGTCTTAACATGTGGTCGATCTAATCATGTCAACTCTCTAAGGGATTGACCACAACTTTGAGATCGTTTTACTAAAGTGTGGGACATAGAAAAAATTCTGAGTCCCCAAGAGGAATCGAACCCAACAGACCTTTGGATTCCATACTATGTTTTACCACCGAGCCACTGAGAGTCAGTCAGTAGCAAGCAAAGCCCATTACCAAGTTCAAATTTGACACGTGTCTTAAATTTTTCTTTGTCCCATTCTCATGACTAGACAAAAAACATCTTTCTATATTCTTTACCAAGCTCAAAACTTGCCATCTTTCTTATTCTATATTATTGCTGTTGTATTTCTCACTAAACAACCATTACATTTACAAGGAAAGTGAAAATTATTCTTAAAAGGTATTCCTTTTCTACTCACTTTGAAATTGGTAAATGCAGTTTCATGGAAGAAAATTGAGAGATAAAACAATGATGTGGATGAATGTTGGTCAAAGTGAAGGGTTGGTATTTGTAATAATGTACATTTTATACCATTTCTACTTACTACCTTTTGTAGCCTTGACATCACAGGAAGCTTTCAATTTTGAAAGATTATGCTGAAAAAAAAATTGAAAAAAGTCAGTTCCAGTCCATTTAATATTTCTTTTTTCTATTACAAATGTTGACACCATTTAATCTAATTTAGTGTTGAAAAATGTATCCCAGAGTAAGTAACTTAAGATGAATGATATCCTTTCAAAAACAGACAGTTAACAACAATGCTTAATGATATTAAAACATACCAATACCAAGTCATTGGAACACAACCCTCTGTATACATTCTGAACTTAGACAAGGTGACAGCTGAAGACTCAGATGGCCCAAAAATCAAATTGAGAAATGCTAAAGATATTTAATTCCTTGTGGAACTTGAGGAGATTAAGAGAAATATTAACAGCCCACCACAACCAAAAGCTGATTGATCAATTTGAATTGAGCCCCGTATTTGCTCAAATTCCTTTTGTCCTTATGAGTGGCACCAGTCATGGTCAGTGAGCTAGATTTTTTACTTTTTCAGCAATTTTCTTGGAAAACAATGAAGAGATGAAGTTAGAATTTTGTTAAGATAGCATGCACCATTAATGCAAGGGCACCCACCACAAAAATTCATCAGATCTTCAATATTTTAATATTACATCTGGTTTGAAATTGGGGAGGTTAAGTTGCTGACATCCTAAGTGTGGTTGCAAGCCTTGTCTCAAATTGCTACAGATTAACTGTAAGTTGAAAACAACTCAATCAGTAATTAGGCATTCAAGGGCACTAAACTCTTTTTTACTTTACAGAGGTTTTGTAGACAAAGATATGGTGTTGGTTTCATTTTTGCAGTCCCTTTTCAGGCAACTTGGCACATAGGATATTGTTCATCAAATGCTTCAATTTGTCTCAAAAATTCAAGTCCCCTTTAATTTGTAGATAGAAACATCAACATTGTAAACATCCAAATTCAAGAAAGTGTAAACAAAAAATCAAGCAACATCAGGTAAACAGCCGACCTTGCCAGTCATGTCTGACTCAATTTTGGTAGTTACAGAGTGGAAACCAACTAGTAATATTATTCTGCCTATTTTCTCTTTTACAATACCCCTCAGATATACTTTGACTGCTCAGATGCAACTTATACACTCAGATACAGGGTCATCAGATGCACATATACATGTATGACTTTCATGTATGCATAATGAAAGAGGTGCATGAGTTACGAGTCTTTGTTATTCAGTGCTTTAAGTTGAATTGGTGTATAAAACAAATTATTAACCAACTACGTTCCGTAGAGTACAAATAACGCCATAGACGAGTACAGGTATCACGCGGTATTTGTACTCCAGAGAACCAGTTAGAGAGGTTTTCTCACATCAAGCAAGCAAAGAATTGGATTGAAGTTCCGAAAAAAAAAGGTGGACAAATATAGATCCAAGTTTATTAGATGAAACAAAAGAAGAAAAAAAGCAAGACAACCAGGAAATTTCTTGATTTAATGAAGAAAATAGCAACACGCCAATGGCCAATTCCGTTCTGGTTCATATACTTCTGTCATGCACTCCCTGTAAATAAATATCTGGGAAATTTGCCCAAACTGAAATAACAATTTGGTGTGTTGGATAATAAATAACTTATTAGACGTTTTGTTGTGTAGTATCCCTGAGTATTTTTACTCGTTATTTGTATTTTAC